TGCTGAGGGGCACAAAGACCAGGAATTTAACATTCATATTAAAAATTGTCTCCATCTCAGTTGGTAAAATGACATGTACTATAGACTGTGCTCTATCAGAAATGTAATATTCATTCTTTCTGCTTAGGATGTCCTGCACTTGTTGAGAGGAGCTCCTCGAGAAGTTACACTACGACTTTGCAGACCACCAAAAGGTGTTCTTCCAGAAATAGAGCAGATTGCCCTGGTAAGGCAAAGCTTCTGACAGTAACCTTGTTTCTGTAAACCTGGAAAGACACTACTACATTTTCTATCCAGTCTTGAACTAGGCAACCTTCCCTTTTCTCCAAGGCTCTCTATTCCATTTCTTTCCCTTCCTGGCATCAACTCAGCCTCAAGTTCAACTGATACTTCCTTACCAACCAAAATAATAGAAATCTGTGAGGTGTGAAATGTACTTATCCCAGTCCAACAGCTTTTGAGTTGCAGCACTGTCATAGAAGTAAACCAGTACATACCCAAGCAGACCTTCCAGTGGTGCTTCTAAAAATGCCCTATTAGATCCTACTAGATCTGCCAGAAACTGCAGATATTCTGAACTGCAGCTATTTTAACCTATAGGCTTGTCATAGTTAAATTACTCACAAACATGAGAGGAAAATATGGAACTTTTCCCATCCAGACTGCCTCTTAATGAAGTGAAATAAATGGTTTCAACTGGTTGTTCAGCTTCTTATTAATAGCAGAATCTGCAGGGGCTAAAACTACACACAAACAAGCAAAACCCTCCAAACAGTAGAAACTAAAACTGTGCCGTTAGATGTGTATTATTGTTCCTCCTTCTTGAACATGACTCATGGACACATACACAAGTCCCTCTTGCAATGAACATGCATTTGCTTTACTCTTGCTCCATGCAGAATTGCCCACTCATCCCATCCCACTAGGGTTTATAGCTGTCCGTGGGCAGATGGAAATGACTGTCAGAACCATCTCCAGATAACAAACTGGATCCTGTTGTTCTCCTACATTGTGCCTTTGGCTGATTTCTGTGGTCAGTCCCACAGGAGTCAAATCTGGAAGCTACTTCTATGTAATGAAGAGAATATAGACACAACATTGAGGCATGATATGAACAGAAATAAAAAAAGGGAACCCGTAGCAAATAATTCATTGGGGAAAGTGCATTTGTGTAGTAGTTCTGACTGGAACTCCCGAAGAATGTGAAAGATAAACATAAAGACAAAGAGTTATTTGATGAGAGAGTGCCTCCCTCCATATTTTCCCTCTCTTCTAGCTACTATTTGATATTTTCCCATTCAGAAGCTTATTGATATTCCCTTTGCAAAATATTTTGGTCTTAAAGGAAAGAAGATGGGAGATTCAAAAGGAGTTACACTAACCTTTCTGTTATTTTGGTAGACTCCAGCACCATCTCCAATCAAGGAGTTTGTGGCAGAAATGCCAAGTGGCACGGAGGTAGGAAACAGTATGGATCAGTCTACCAGTGATGGAGGTAGCACCTCTCCAGACCTCGAAGACTGCTTGGATTCTCCAGTGGCAGAAGATTTCAGTGAGCCTCCTGAAGATGACAGCTCAGCTTATGAAGAGCAGGAGGCTGAGTTTCAAGAGAAGCCCATACAGAACCTCACGACTTCCAGGGAGAGCTTCTATAAGCATCTTTGGAAACTTCACCAGGAAGCTTCCAGTTCTGAAGTTCTTCACTCCCTAGAGGAAGAACTGAAGCAGAACTGCTACTCACCATGTGAATTTGGACAGTCCAAAAGGTAGGGAATACTCTGCTCTGCAGCCTTTCCTTCGACGCTTGCAATTTTGAAAGTGAATTGCTTAGGTTTAAGTACAAGGCTATCTGCTTCTAATCACTGCTGATTACTGAAGATTTTGCTTTACCATCTTATTCTTATTCTCCTAATCTGCCATCTATATTCACTCCCTTCTTATTAGAATATTGCATAAATCTGAATTACAAGACAGTTGTATGAGTGCTGCACTACTGTAATCACTTATGCTGTTCAGCTGAAGCTGGTCGCCATTTGGAATCAGTGAAAAGACTCTTGTTGACTTAAATAGGAACCAAATACTTTCTTATGTATTAAATAATCTTTTAATTGTAATTTTTTCAGATCTGATTTAAATGGGCACAAAAATGGTTTTAAATTATGTGATCTTTTATTTTCAATTTTTTCATACAAATCAAAAAAAAATCAGAAGACAAACTGTGATCAAGGAGGTTAAAAAAAAAGGTTGTTTTCTATTTTCTGATCTTCAGAACACAATAGAAGGCCTGAGCCAGAGGAATTACACAATAAAATACAGTGCAAACAGACTCAGTCTCCTTTTACACTCTTTTGGATGTATCAGACACTGGCACGCAGATCCATCCATTTTAATCACTTTTCATAGTGCAAAAGAATATAAATTATCAGAACAGAAAGGATTGGTACAAAGGCAAATTAAATCTCCTAGAGGCCTTTAACTTACAGCTGTAGTATTTTTATTGAGAAACTAATTTCTGTTTTTCCACACAGTCCATTGAAATCTTTTTGTTACTTTCAACACTCATTAAGCACAGACCCAGGCAGACCTTCCAGTCTTAGTGGAGTTACAGAACTAGTTGACTGCAATTCAAGTGGTAATTCATAATTTTAGTTTCTCTTTCTTGAGAGAAGCTTCGCTCGATTCATGAAGGAAGCTCCTGCTTACATATCTGCTTCTCTACTTCTGAGAGTAAAACCAGCAGAAAGATGTCTGTAGCAAACATATTTGCCAGGAGATACAGATTCAACAAAACTAAGTTTATTGTGAGAAAACATCAATTCCAAGAAAAGTTTTGGATACTTTCCAAGAAGGAAGTTCTGAAATAAATGTGTTCGTTTGATACATTTTCAGTATCACTTAGTTTCAGCTTTAGCATTTTCAAAAGGCAGCCAGAGCAGTTTAAGATGGCATGCATTTTAAACAATATTTTAAACATAATCTCAATTTAAATGATCCTTCTAGCTAAAAACACAAAATCCCCAGAAGGAAATGGGCAATAATAAAGGAATTCCTTTTGATTCATGAAGAAATTTCTTCAGATTCTTCAAAATATTTCATGCAAATGTATACATCTTCTGATTTGAATTTTAGAACTTCCCTGCTTAGGGTTTCACAGGGAATATTCCTTTCACTCTTCATCACCACCACTAAGAACCTGTGAAAGGGATGCTTTGAAAAACCTTAACCCTGTGAAGTCCAGGTGCAGGGGTCACACGACTCCAAAAGAAATTCAAGTATCTCAGTGGAGCTGATGTATGTGCCTGCAGGACCCAGACTCCTGTTATTTCCTGTGATGATGTAGAGATGGGCTAGAAGCTGTGTTATGATTAAGCCACTCACTGCTGGCTCATTGCCTTGAGCTCATATAGCTCTGCCAAACACCTTTCATACCCTTTGAAGGTCATTCAGCACTCCACTACCATGTGACAGCTTCTATGACATCCACTTGGCCCAATGTCCACTGAATGTACTCTTTCCTTTTCTGCCTCCAAAAGGAGCAGAGTGCATTTGCTGTTATCCTTCAACATTTCTTTTAATTAATCCAGTCTTCTTTCACAGTATTGTAAGTATTTGTTATCCAGCTATTAAAGTAGCTGGATAAAACTGTCAGTAAATGACCTTAAAGTGTCAGTCTCATTCTCAGCTTTGCTGTGCTACAGGAGATGGCCATTTTCTCATTTCCTCCCTGCACAGACACACTAACAGACTAGGTTGCTTCCCTCACTGAGGGCATACAGCATGAGCCTCTAAGTTTTTCTTACTTCCCTAAGTTCTTACTTCATCATCAAAGGCTACTAGCTATATCCATCCAAAGTGACTGTTTTGCTACTCTGCTGTATAGCTTCCTTCTGACTATAGACAACTTTGGAAACAAGAACCTAACAGTGGGGATCTTCTGTGATTTCATACAAGACATGCAATTTAGTTTTCTTTTAGTTGTCTGTGTTCGCTTGGGAAATAGTAGACAGTTCATTTCTATCAAAGAGCAAAAGATCCTGGGTGACAGATATGAAATGTCATAGCATCTTTGCTAGGTGAAGCATTAATAAGAGCTATGCCATTTTAAGTGTTTTTCAGATGAATGAGGTTTAGCAAGATTTCAATAAGTATTGATATGAAGAAAACATATTTTTGTTAAAAAAATTGTGTTTCAAGCATTCTTATGAGCTTTAACAGAGAATTCTATGGAGACAATGACATAGTAGTCTATTAGGGTTCATTAATAAAAACAGCCAAAACAACATTAAACACAGCATATATGATTACAGTCTGGGCTTGAACACCGAAAGTGCTGAATAGCTTGTCTGCAATATAGTGGAATAAAATCAATAATAATTTTAATTCAAGTAATTGAATAAATCCATTGATTCCTGTAGGACAATTCATATGCTTCAAGGTAAGCATAAAAATAAAGGCAAGCTTACAAAAAGAAGTCAGGACTTTTATTTTTCATGGAGAAAGAGGAATCATTTCACATTTCATGTTTCTGGTCTGTGCTCAGCTACCAAGGAAAGACCTGTAGGAGCCAGAAATGTGGTTGACGTTCCTTTTTCAAGACAAATGCAAACATAAAAATATAGTATCGTAATGTGCATCCAGCTTGCCAGAAAAGTTAATTAATTTGTTTATGGAAGATGAAAGAATTAATGGTCTGAGCATTGTCCAATTCTTTTCAAGCCGCAACCAAAGTACTAACTCATGCCTTAAAAGAAAAACAAGAGTGCAAGATTTTGCAAAGGCAGTTGTCAAATTATGAAAGCTTTTGAATCTTTCCAAAATATTGATTACTTATTTGTTTTTATCCTACCATTGAAGGATTCAGACAACAATTCAATACTGTAACTAGTACTTCAGTTAAAATGAAAATAAGGTCATGCCCAAGCAGTAGACTTTTCAGTGGCCATTTAAGAAAGCACATGGAGGAAAACCCCAGCACTGCAATCTTTTTATTTTCCAGCCGCATGTTTAATAAGAGTCATGATGACCTATCGAACACAAAATGTATGCCTGAAACTCTCTCTCTAACCCCTATTGATGAAGAGTATCTCACTATCAGCTCAATGCCTGTGACCTCACTTTCACGAGGAGGAAGCTCTGAGACACTCTCTGCAACCACTGCGACCCCACAACCACATGTTTGTGGTCCCTTACCATCATCCCTGTCTGCTAGAGAGACACATGAGAGTGACAACGAATGGGAAGACTTAGAGGAAGCAGAGGAAGAGAAGGAAGAAAATGAAGGTTGCACTCAGGTATGTGATAGGCACCAAATTGCTAACACCTAGAATACAAAGGAAAAGAAACAATTTAAAGAATGTTACATTCTTAAACATTAATTTAAACTCATATTCTATGCTATTTCTACCTGACTATTTTTTTTCTTTACTTTCCTGAATATCCACAATCTTCAAATAAAGCAGACCTTCCACTATGCCCGGCTCTCCAGAATTCTTTACCATTTGCCTTAAGGCCATTTCCTTGTTCTTGACAACTTACTATTTCTCCAACTTTCCAGCATTCTGCAGTATAATTCTCAGTGTACAAAGGCCTAAAAGCCCTCTAGTAGCCTCTGAAATTAACTGGAGTCAGCTACTGGGTTTTTTTCTGTCGTGTTTCAAGCCCATGTGGAAAATCACTTTGTCACAGTGATATTACTGTAATGTCCTGATAAGAAAGTATGATCCTTGTGCTAATTACTATTCAAGATATAAGGCTCAGTCCTGCCAAATGCTGAACATCTTGCATTCCTACTGACACTAATGAGCTCTAAATTCCTACTAATTTGAGAATGCTCTGGACAAAATTTATCTCCAGCCATTTCCTTCAATGGGGCAGTAACACCAATAACAACAATAATTGTTGCAATTGTTGCAACCTGCTATTTCAACGCTTGTCAGCTCAGAACACTCCAAACCTTTATTTATACATTTCAAATGCCAAAATTCCAGGCTCTGGTGGCATTCTCTGCCTTATTAGGCCCTATCAATCAATCAATCAGTCAACATGAAGCTGCACTAGGTAAAAAGAAGGAAAATTAATTCTGGAGTATGGCAGTGACAGGTGAGAGAAACACTTATGTATTCCCTTGTTTGTACCATCAGATCTGAGGATCTGATTCTTCTCTTCATATAAAACATAATGGGACATATTAATGAATCAACAGAAAAGCCTCCATCAAATATATCTGTGCTTGTTTCAACAGGAAATGGAGATCTTTGTGACCTTGACAAAGTCAGAGAACAATGGCTACGGATTCTCTGTAGTTCTTAACAAAGTGGACACCTGCCTGTATGTTGATGAAATCTTGAATGACCCTGCCCTTTCTGACGGAAGACTAAGAAGGGGAGACAGAATCATTATGGTACAGTAATTCTTTGAGTTTATATAGAGAAGAAAATATTTGCAGTTCAATGTAATTCAGCTTTAGCATTTTTCCTTTGCTAGCATCCAGTTCATCACATATTTAGTTATGAAAATGCAAATGAATCATATAATAAATCTAATTCTGCTGACTTCAGTTGGGTAAATTTCAGGCTGAATAGATTGTATGGCCAGGCAAATAACATGAATCATCTAGCAGCAGTGCAAGACAGCTGGGACATTTAATGCCTTCCCAATTAAATAATATAAACTGAATTAATATAATAAGATAGGTGACGAATACAAAGGATGCAGGAGTTATGTCCTTTGTAATGTATGAATAAAACCTTTTTTTCAGCCTGATTCATGTGCATTTTGTAGCAGTTAGGCTCTATTCCTTGTTTTTTTGCAACAAGACCTTGAGTTTCAAGAAAAAAAGCTCTTTTTATGAAAGCTCTGCATTCAGAAAAATAAAAGTTCAAAGAAGAAGTCTTACTGCAATCTTAACTGCTGCATTCACAGACATTAAATACCACAGCAAAGCAGTAACAAGAAAGTGAAAACTAATTTAAGTTCATATGCCAAATTCAGAGTGAGGGAGAAGTACATGATAGTAAATGAATCTGTGACATGATTTTATTGGTTTGTCATTTAGGTGAATGGAATTGATGTCACATCTTTACCATGCAATGAAGTCCTGACTTTACTGCAAAGCTCTCCTCCTGATCTGCACCTTGTGGTTGGTCGTGCTGACAGTGACCCATGTCCCTCTGTTAGGCCAGATGAGATTCCTGAAATCACTCTCACAAAAGGTGCCAATGGACAGCTAGGTGTGTACTAAATACTGTGCTTGCTATCTTGGACAGGGATTACAGCAATCATAAAGTAATAAACAACTGTGGTCTTGGTTCAGTATGATCCAGAGTGACCTTGACACCTTTATGCTCTCTGCCATCACCCATGACCATGGAATGAGAGTTTTATTTTGGGCAAGTCCTATAAGGGAAGACTAATATCTTTTATTAGACCAATGAAGATAGTTGGGAAAATGGTCTTTGTATTATCACCCTATCAGCTAAAGTTTCTGGCAGATCTCCAGTCTCATACTTATGTGCTACTACAACATAAGTTGTGGGTAGTTAGACAATAATGTCTACTACCTGCAGAGATACATAAAGATCTGTTTGGAGAGAAAGAAAAAGGAAGAAGAAGAGGTAAATCTTAAGAAGGATGAGCCACAGGCTACAGTTTGCTATTCAAAAAATCTCCACTTAAATCCTTGATTCAACACAGACACAAAGCTTTATCTACATTGTGCAATACAGGTGATAAAAGAAATCCCCACAAATATCTTGGTATTTCTGCACAATGTGGTGAGTGCTGCACACAGATAAAACTGTAGACTCAGGAAACAGTGTGGCTATATTTGATCATGTACAGCATCCTGTTTCCAGGCAAGAAACTAGCTTTTTCAGAGATTCCTTGAAAGTCATTGCACTGCACAGTTTTGCACTGTATAGATATCTCCTCAGCTGTCAGGCCTCCATTCCCTATGGCACTCTGAAGACTGCAAGGCACTTAAGCACTCTGGTAATGAGGGAGTTACTGCTATGCAGCTCAGTGTCCTATTGAAATGACTATTGAACATCAGGTGAAATAAGGCACTATGGAATCACTGAAGCATAGAGATGGACAACACCATTTAAGTTTTTCCATACTTTTTAAACATCTAATGGCATTTCACTCTCTCAGTCCAGCTCATATACCCCATCTTACTGGGGCAAGACAGTTATTTGTAATGTCAGTGATTTGTTCAGCCTTTCAATGACTCACATCTGTTCCACTAGACTTTATGTCACCGACAGTGAAATCCAAATCATGCTGCCACAAAAGATGCTTTCTCTGCATTATTCTAGGCTTGAAGCTGACAGGAGGAGCTGGAAGCAAGTTACAAGGTATTTATGTGCTAGAGATAGTTCCTGGCTCTCCTGCCAGTGTGGAAGGCAGTTTGCAGCCACGAGATCAGATTGTTTACATCTGTGGACTGTGGACTGAGGGCATTAGCCTGGATGATGCAGTGAGAGTTTGTGAAGCTGCCACCCAGAATGTTCAAATCAAAGCCACAAGGTAAATTTGAGCATACTCAATCTCAATCCTAATGCTGAAGCAGGTTTCTAAATTTTACATCAACAAGTCAAACCATCAACACAATTCAAACTGCAAGAAAAATGCTTTATTGCAAAGGTCTGAATGTTTCAACCTGATAAATAGCATCTGTAAGATATCTTACCTCCTTGTAATTGTAATTAACTGTGAGTGCAAGTAGCCTCATGCAACACAAATGAGCACTCTTCAAATTTCATCATCCAAATACAAATGTGAACACTTTAACTGTGAGGCTGACCACCATTCTCATGTATCTTGTTCTCGAAGGAAAATGTTTATATTTCCACCACTACTATCAACCTTCTCCATACAATCTCAGGTTCATAACTACAGGCAAAAAACTACCTGTGATGGGAAATTCTGAGTTACTTCCAGCAGCCAGATGTTTTAGAAAGGTACTAAAAATGAAGCTTTAAATAGGTAGCATGTAAGAAAAAGTCATCCCAGGCTTGAACAATAACCTGCAATAAAGGATTTCTCTCATCAGTTCATGGCTGCACTTCAGATTTTTTGTGTTCCAGAGTCTGATATAACACCAGCACAGGTCCTGGACTGACACAGAAATAGCTTCCAAAGATCTCAGAGGAACAGGCAAACATTAACCCAAAAACATGTGAATAACAAAGTTATATAACCAGAGCAAGTGATAGTATGGCTGCCACAGCTGTCTTAACAGAGTTCAAACTTTTATCAATGATTTATTAACTTGTACTTGTCAAGCAGAAGAAAATGTCTCCTCATTATACTTCTTGCTGTACAAGCAGTTAGTACAGCACCCCGATTGTCATAATTTACAAACTAAGGAGACAAACAGAAATAGGATAAAGGAACTTGCAAAAGAGCATTCCCATTTTATAGAGAGGTAACCAAAGCTGAATTCAAAATGTACCAGAGACCAGTTCTGTATTGAGACAGGTGATTTAACATGTTCATTCGTTCCCTAACCCACTAAAATAAAATAAAATTAAATTAAATGTTTCACTGCTGTTAAATAGTGTCAGATATTTTATATCATGATATAAATGCTCTTTAGAAAAGCACCATTAATAAAATCATAGAAACACAACTACAGTTTAGACAACTGTCTTTCTAAAAATAATTTTCATATGTGCTTTACAAAGCATGCAGCTCTTAATGGCTCACATATTTCACTTTTTCTGCCCCCAGAAATGGCAATCCAGTGGTTCCTATAGAGCAGGAAAATAGTAAGTAAGGCTAATATTCTTGGGGTTTAGTTAAAAACTTGCTTCTGATTTTGAAATTAAGCATAAAGTATTGATTCATTGCATTTAAAAGTTATTAACAGATTGTAACTTGGCACTCAGTATTTCTATTATGGCCATTCTAAGACTCTGAAGAAAATTTGCTAGCTATTTAAAGACAGAAGTAAAACGTATAGTTTTCTGTAAAAAATCATTTATTGCATTTTGCATAGTCAGTTTCTATTTTTTTAATTTGCTGTTATTAAATGGGAATTTTATGTGGTCATATATCAACATCTGTTTTGACTGAAACTACTCTCTAAGGAGTTTTCCAGCACTTTTTGAGCCACTATTTAATATGAGCCACTACTTCATCATCTAGATCACCTTTTTAAACTGTTATCAATAAACTAGAGAAAATCAGAAGTAGGCAGCACCAATATCTCTTAGTTAATATAAAAGCATTCCTATCAGGGGATGATATTTAGTATTACAACTGATAGAAAACTTCAGTAGTTGTCTTCACTGCAAAGACCAAAGACATGACCAGAATTCTCTAGCAGTAGAAGGAGTCTCACCCACCAGAGGTTGCATCTGCACCATCAGGTGGAAGGATAAGTATCACATCTAGGTCACTGCATAGAAAGTGTGTTAGCTATGCCAGTAGCACTTTCCAGTGTACATTTGGCTGCAGTGTTAAGTCAGGCCTAACCCCAGTTTCATTCACCTGACTGGATATCTGAATATTTTTTAATGATGCAAAGATGACCTCAAAAAGTAACCCTGGACCAGTATTGTTCACACACCTACACTCATCTGAATACTGGCATATGGTTACCTGAATAAATTATTCCAAGTCAAGGTAGTTACAGATTTCCTGTTCTATAACATGTAGCCCTGTGTGTGTTTTTATAAACTGAAGCAGTTTACTACAAGACATGAATAAAGTTATATGTACTCTCAGTTAATATGGTATAACTATTGCATTGCCAATGTACATCCTGGTAGGACCTTGCTTACACAGCTTAGATCTGTGAGCTTTGCAGATTTGAAGATTTCCCAAGACACCTTCAAAATAGGTAACCAGATCTGATACAGAGTTATCAACCCTACGCTGGTACAGATACCTGCCTCACTTATAAAACAAGATGTGCAAGGTCCTGCACATGGGTCAGAGCAATCCTAAGCACAAACACAGGCTGGGCAGAGAATGGATTGATATCAGCCCTGAGGAGAAGGACTTGAGGATGCTGGTAGATGAGCAGCTCAACATGACCCAGCAACATGCTCTTGCAGCCCAGAAAGCCAACCAAATCCTGAGCTGCATCCAAAGGAGTGTGGCAGCAGGTGAGGGAAGTGATTCCCCCCTCTACTCTGCTCTCATGAGACCTGCCTCGAGTCCTGCACAAAGTTCTGGTCCCCTCAATGTAAGAAGGTCATGACTGTTTAAGTGAGTCTAGAGGAGGGCCATGAAGATGATCAGAGGGCTGGAGCATCCCTGCTATGAAGACAGGCTGAGAGTTGGGGTTGTCCATCCTGGAAAAGAGAAGATGTTGGGGAAACCTTATAGCACTTTCCAGTACAGAAAGGGGCTACAAGAGAGAGGGAGAGGGACTTTTGACAAAGGCATGTAGTGACAGGACAAGGAGGAATGGCTTAAAAGTGAAAGAGGACAGGTTTGGATTAGATATTAGTGAGAATTTCTTATCTATGAGGATGGTGAGACACTGGAACATGTTGTCCAGAGAAGTAGTGGATGCCCCATCCCTGGAATTGTTCATTACTCATGGCAGAGAATGGAAACTAGATGATCTTTAATGTCCCCTCCAATCCAAACCATTCTATGATTCTTCCCTTTTATAAGGCACTTTAAAAGATCTATAGTAATTTTGTATTTGGTGTTCCATTTGCTATCATTGCTGATAGATTTATAAATAAATCTATAATAATTCGTTATTAAGAAAGCAAGTCTACATTTTTGTAGACTCAGTTACAAAAATGCATATTTAAATTATAACTGCAACAGGTAGTTTGCTTTTAAACAACAGAACGTTCATGATTTTCTATAATTCATACATTAAGAGTACTCTGGAAGACAACCAATATCACCAAGATATGATAAAGCAACACCTCAAAAGAGGGGGTGGGTGAGTAGACGTGGGAGTGTTTCTTTGTCTGCCTCATCATTGCCACATGTCTAGAATGACTCAGTCTGATCTCTTCATTATTGTTACAATTTTTAAATAGCGATGGCTGAGACACAATTTCTCTGCAATTCATGACAGAATTGTTTCTATAAGTGAGCAAATCGGCAAACTTAATCATTAAGTAGCGTCTCAAACTGCCTCAGAGAGTATCAATGTTGGATATTGATGTTTTGCTTAATAATCGGAGCACAGAGTTTACATTCCCATGTGTATATGAAGGTCAGGAGGAGGCCTGTCAGAACAAACATACATGTATCCTTTTAGGGCCACCGGCAGAGACAGAGAAAGTCAATATTTTGCCAAAGGAAAACCTGAATTCCCAAGAACAGGATCAGCTGCATCAACATGGTAAGGAACTTAGCATTTTTCAGTTAGAATTTATGAAATTTTGTGCCCTCTCTTTGAAAGAAAATAAGTCTATACGTGGTACTGGCAGCACCTGGGAAAGACTAACTCTTGGTAGAAAAACCTGCCTCCCTCAGAGTTTTAGACAACAGTTGTACATTACCTGTTGAGACGAAAAATCGGGTGTCTCTGACACTGTAACATGCAGCTTTTAAAGCTTGTTTTGGAACCTGCTCACTGGGAGATACAAAGTCTCCAGGGACAATATGCAGAAGGTTCAGTTCACAGTTCAGGAGTTTGAGCCCACATTAATCCATAGGATTCTTATTTTGGTATTTTACAAAATGCTTTATTAGCTCTGAATAAGATTTTGAGTGCTATACTATAGAACTTTCTACCAGTACAACTATGTAAAAATTGTTGCTGCTTTTTCACAGAGAAACATTTGGAGGAAACAAACTCCAGTGCTCAGGAAAACACTCCTGATTCTCCAGAATGTAAAGTAAGTGACAATTTTAAGTGTGAGATGGTTATCAAGAGAATTGAGCTATATGGAGTGACATTTTTAAAATAGTGGTATTTAATGTATTTTATTCCTCTCCAGTTTCTGTGAAAGTAAGAATATAATGCACCTGGAGAGAGTCCTGTGAAGTGTTGAATTGCTTCAGCATTCATGGACTAGAACATGCTGAGCACTTCCTGGGCACAGACTCTTCTGTTGCTGTTTTTCAATGCTTAGAAACAAAGTAGCACAGGAAAAAGGAACAGAATGGAAAAATAAGCAGAATTATAACACATTTTCCACAACAATCTTTGAAACCTGAGACTAATATGTTTCATTTTGAAATTCTCAGATAGATATTTGAAAAGAGAATAAAAAATTATTCCAAACCTTTGGAGTATTATGTAGCACTGACAAAAATCATAATGGTTTGTATTTGGCAAAAGTAATGCCAGTTTTGAAATTAAGAATTCCTAAAATTCCCAGAAATTTTTTTTTGGGGAAAAAAGTTATTTTCATGCTTAACATACAATGCTTCAAAATTCTTACAAGTGAAAACATCACTTCTGTTTGTGCAAACACATGGAAAATAATGTTCATAGAAATTATCCACATTGGAACTGATATTTCATGTGAATATGTTTACTAGTTTTCTCTTGATTGCAGCTTGCAAAAAAAGCTGTTTCTTGTTAAAATTAAACTTCCAACCTGGCAGAAAAATTGGAACAGTTTTCTTACTTTTGATTAAGTCATCACTATTACTGCTTTTTCTGCACCATTTAATCCATGATGATTTATCTGCTCAACCTGTGAAAATAATTTCCAAGGCTGATATTTATGATGTTGGAACTAGTCGTGCTGCAAGTCATAAACATTTCTAGCTTGCTGCTATTTCTGAGATAATACTTGACCCTAAAAAAGCCACTGATTTTAAAACCAAATGAAGGGCTAAAGCCGAAGAGATGAGAATGTTGAGGTTGCAAGATTAAGATTTTCATTACAGAACAATGTAAGAATGGACTATGTACTGCATTACTGTCACACTGGAGATAAGAGAGCCTTGTTTGTCAATGAAGGTGATTTATTTAATATATTATAAAAGGATTACAGAAGTACACATTTCTTTGCTCTTTAGAATTTTTTTCCCTCAGCAGCAACTATTAAAAAGAGTATGAAAATAAGTGTGCACTATTTTCATTCTGATACACACATGCAGCTGCACAGTTGGTCACTGGAAGCTCTATGTACCTATTCAAGAGTAGGATATATCCCATAACCTACGTCAGCCAGTGAGGACTGTGAAGCATAATGGGATTCTTTGGTATTAAAAATGCAAACAAAATACAGACCTGAATAAACTCCACTTTAGACTGCATCCTTGTCTATTGTAGGACTTCATTATTAGGATTGAGCTGGAAAAAGCAGAAAATGGAAGCCTAGGATTTGCACTGGTAGGTGGAAGAAATGGCAGGGCTATCCTAATAAAAGCCATCAGCCCAGACAGCATTGCAGATCTAGATGGGAGGCTTCAAGTTGGTGACATCCTACTTAAGGTAATGCTTGTTCTTCATTGCTTTCGCCTACGTTTTCTCTAGTTACTCTATAATGAGCAGCTTTTGAGTGTTTATATAAAATCTTTCTATCCTAACCACCTTTTAATATAAATCATCCTGGTTTTAGCCCAAATTTTTTTTCAATTCCCCCTTCAGGACTTGGAATATTTTTATTTGCTCTTCTGTTTGACTTCCATCTCTCCTCCATCTTCTGTTTGAAGAATGGGGGAAACAATACCCTCTTACTGTCTCAAACTGTACTTTTGTGGTGTCCTGCAGGCAATCATGGTACATAGACATACAGAGGAGAGGATCAGGCAAGTTGAGAGAGAGTGAGAATTCCTTCCCAAAAATGGGAGAAAATGAAGACACATAAAGTGCAAAGAAGTCATATAAAGATTTCTCAGTGCTAGGATATGTGATTTTAAAAAAGAGCTTTCTGTTATAGGAATCTGGAAATACACATCATTGTATTTTTCAGGTGAATGAGACTTTTGTGTCTGGTCTGCCACGCCAAACAGTTACAGATCTGCTGCGCAAAGCTCAAGGCACTGTTCAACTCACTGTCTGCCGAAGTGTGGCTTTGCATTGGGCTTATTCAGGGAATCAGAGCAACGAAGCTTCCCCCCAAAACACAAAAGCAGAGCCTGGTAAGCAGCTGCATTTGCTCACAGTGTGATAAATGTGGGATTATATGTTGCCTGAATTCAACTTTCCTATTAGCAAAACAATTCAATATACTAACTTTACAGTCAGGCCTGATTCACAGCTGTAGATACAAACATTCTTCACCCTGAGCTGCAGTTCTGGCTATACTACTCAAGACATAGGACCACAGGGAAGAAATGCTTGAGTGGGATTTTTAAGCCTAGGAAGAGTGGAAGTGAAGCTGCAAGATCTTCAAAGATGCTTTAGCTTAGTTTATAAGTCATGAATCCTGATCTGATTTTAGCCCATTTTATACAACTCACTGATGGAATCACAGACAATTATTGACCCAGCTGCTAAAACACATTTCCTAAAAATTTCACATCCCATAACTCCTACTTCTCTCCTGGAAGCATTACACTTCCTATTCTGTCTGGCAGACAGATCCTCTCTCTTCTGTGCTTGTTCATGGTCAAATCCAGAAGTCTCTGCATCCAGACTGATATCACTTTGAGAGCAGACACATCTTGCATAGGGCAAGTACTTAGAGTTCTGACTAACTCCCTGGAAGAAACCTCTGCTCTATGCTCTGCTCTACTGAACACTCAAAAATTAAATACTAATTAAAGCTGAGTGTGGAAGCAAGGATATGATATTACTAATAGTTTATGGGGTTACAGTCCTCAACCTTCTCTTTGAACACTGAAATGTTTCCTATAATGAAACTGCAGTGGGACGGATATAGAATTCCTCCTTCTGTCCTGATGGCTACAAATTGGAGGCTTTGTTTCAAGTATTCTCAGGCAAGAAGACACTGCAATTCCTATTTTCATCTTACATGACATTGGTGATTTACACACTTTCTGGGAAGTTTAAAATGTGTTCCTGGAGCAGCAAATCCCCATAGAAGCACTGGCATCAAAGTTAATGTATGGTATTTGTGCCTTAGCACTGCAAAGGAATGAGTTGGGTTAGGAAGGGCAAATTTAAATTCTGTTTCAGGTTTTTTAGAACTGCTGTTGACACAGGGCTGTACTTCAGTATATCTTCTGACAACCTGAATTACGCTGGCTTCTTCAATGGTGATGTATGGCGTTTGTGCTGTACTAACCCTCTCAGAGCATCCATGAAAAGGATATTCCATGCTAGTCCAAGGTCAAAGTCTTTTGCTGTAGGTGGCAGAGAAGAAATGGATCTATATTTCCATGCATTTTATTTTTCTTTTGTGTTCTGGTATTCAGCTAATGCTGAGGAAAGCCTGCAAGCTCAGCCTGTTTCCACTTTCAAGGAAGAAGACTCCAAGCAGATGTCCAACAAGGTAAAATCAGAATTGAGCATCTAGAAGTTATCAGGCAAAATACTCATATGTTTCTGTACAAAATGGGTTTGCTGCAATGTGAGCAAGAACCACACCTTCTTAATGAAAAGAGATTAATGTGAGGGAAGTGTGTTGCAATGACTGGAACTGGCTAACATTTGAGTGAGTCAGGGGGTTCCACTCAGATAAGAGCATAGGATTAGGATGATACATATATATGCTAAAAGGGTGGAGGGAAGGAAGATTGCATATGCAAGTCTTGTTCTGATTCTTTATAATACAGGAATGAATAAGTTATTAATTTTATCATTCTTTAGTATTTCTAAACAATATACATTATAAGATTTCTATTGAACTGTCTTCCATTAGCATTCATAACTGCAAGGCATCCAAACTTCTTCAAACATGGTTGTGTTTTTGCATCTAAACAAGTCCTGGAAGACATTCCACATTAAATTTTACAGCATCTATTATTTCTAAGTTTACAACCATAAAACCTCTCAGAAAATGTAAATCATTTAGGTCTTCTTATCCTCCAGAACAAATAAAAAAGCCAAACCCTGCTTCAACCAATATAATCAAACTAGAAAAGAAAAATGGTAGAAATCCTTCACATTTATATGCTGAGAAAACTTTGTAGAGGAATCTGTTCGAGAAAGTTGTAAGAACACTGTTGGAATGGGTGTTGGAACTAAACTTTTAGAGACTGGTGAACTGTAAGATCTAAACAAGGTCATGTCTATGATCTGACACCTGAGAAATAATATCCATGAGAAGCAGGAGATAGTAGTAAGATTATAGGTTCATTTATCAGATCCCCGAGTTAGCAAGATATTAAGGTACAAATTTAGTTTTAAGCATGTGGTTAAGTCTATCTAGTTAGCACAGGACATGCCTAACTTTAACCATGTGTTTTTGCTGACTTGGAGCCATTAATTTTCTCTTCGTCATTATATCCAGCTTGCCTTTAGCTGTCTCCATTGAATAGAAACTATTTATGCTTTTTAGAGCACAGCTGCCAACTAGGCCAAAGATGCACACTTTGAAAGTGACAAGCTACTAAAAAAATAGAAAAAAAACCAGTAAAATACCTTTTCTTTGCAAAGTGAAAACAAATGAACATATCATTCTCCAATCTATATAGCCAGTAGGTGCAGAAACTGGGTAGATGAATTCATGGTTAAATAGGCAGCCATGAATTTCCTTATTCTAATGGGGAAATGCAAGAGCAAAAGTAAGACAATAAGGTATAAGTGGCAGCTACCATTGAGATTCTGTGGGGCATTCGGAGTTTATACTGTGTAATATGCCAGGGTGGTTTCTGAGTGCATCTGGAATATTAAGCAGGGAAAGATGAATAAACACCACTTTGAACTAAAGTTTAAATAATTATCAAGTGCTACAGCTAAGAAGGAGCTACTTCCACATACAGCAGGTGTCCAGCATCATTACTTAAGTGCAGGACCTGGTTACTATTCTCTAGGATGGAAGAACAGCCACCAATACTATTACTTCTACTGCATATGGAGGGTGATCAAGGCTTTGCCTTCTCTGGTAGCTGAGTGCTTCTTCAGCAGAGCGTTTCTACTGCTGGAATCATAGTGTCTGAGATAGAAAAAGGAAATTATTACCAACAGTTCCATCCCAGACACTGATGCTTTCTGCTGCCAAGAGCTGGGAGATGGTGTGGGACGTGACTGAGATGTGACTCATGATTCTTGTGATTGCATTTTCTTTATGAGATCAAAAGGACATAATGAACATGAACCTTTTCAAAGTTTAGTCATATGTTCTAAAATATAGAAGTGTCTGAAGACTGTATGGTTCTGAAACTCACAAATGCATCTGGCATGGCTTTTTACTCCTAGCAGATACTGCAATACATACTTTCTTCTGAAGGTATTCCGAAACTATTCTGGTTTGCCTTTCTTTCCTGAGTGAAGGACACATTTCTGTCAGAAATAAGACAGCTAGCTGATATAAGTAACTATGTTTCGAGGTTTCTGTGTACTGATTTTTCACAGCTTTTTCTTATTTGAAACCTGCAGGATCCAGAAAGTACACACAATTATCTCCAAGGTCAGTTGGCTGGACAAGACTATAAAGATACGATCAGTAACATTTCAGACAGGTAAGTCTTTCAAATGAAGTAAAACGATTAAAATAAATAGTATGGATAATTTATTCTTATATTTTCAGAGCTGTCCTAATACGGTATGCAAATGAACTCATGTCCCAGATGACAGAAACACATTTCTATTGGAATGCAGCTCCATCTGCAGTAAAAGCTGCTAAACAGCTTTCACACAACTGCTAAGACAAATGGAGCAGAAGATTCTAGGTGTAACAGCCTAAGTTAGCTTTAGTCTTTCCAGCTGAGGAGGGGAGAGAACAGTGATAGTACCATTGCCTTGGTGTGGGCAGGATCCCTGTGGGGTTTAGTAAGTGTTCCAAGGAGATCTGGCAGCCTGGGTGGACCCTGTGCTACTATGGCTGCAGCCATGCAGATGTTGAACTCCACACATCTGAGAATCCAGAGAATTTGAGGATGTTACTCCAAAGCAAGTACACAATACAAGAAAAGAATAAATTTACTTCAGATTTTAAATCTTCAGGATAATGGAAAATCTAAGAATAATGGAGTATTGATAAGTCATGGGCAGTTTTATCTATTAGAGTGATGCAGAATACCCACACCAATGGGAAAAAATTACACATATTCATATCTAAAACTTAAAAGTTTGTAAGAAAAATATTTGACCAATCTTCCCAAACATACCTACTTGCAGAGATAAATTTTGAAAGAAGCTCTGAGAGCATCTGCAATTGAAAACATCCATGTGAACAGACTCAATGCCCCTTGCTATTAGCTTATTGTTAATATAACATTATCTTGTGGTATACCAGGTAATCAGGTGTGTTTATCTCTAAATTATCTTGCTCTGTGTGCAAGATGCATAAATGCCTCTAATGGTTAATACAAAGTTATCATATATAGAGATAACAAGTATCTTTCCAAGTTGTTTTGCAAATAGGATGATTTTCCAGCCCCTGTTTAGTAATCTGAATCTCTTGCTATCAGTATTTTCGTATTTCTATATTCTACTCGCAAAAGCTTTGTGCAACTTGAACATGCACAGCCTGCAGTGGTTACTGGTGTTTGCAAAGCTGCTACTTATTTTATTCTCCCTCTTAAGTGTACCTTTTAATATTTCTAATATTAGTTATTATGATCACACATATGACAGGATACTGTAAGACTGTGATATGCTTAAGCTTACTAACATAGTTAAATGTTATGTATAAGGGTATCTGAGCTAGCCAGTAGAGGAATATTTGACCCATTCTGCACACATTGCAGCTCTATTCTGGATTGCAGCCTTATTTCTACCTAAAACATATTTCAGTGCTCTAACATTTTCTAAATACTTTAGGAAACAGTAACAAGCAAAGCCAACTTAGCTATGATTTCCTAACAACTAAAAAATGTCATACATGAAAAATGGTTTTTGACTGTGAAAAATCTTGCTTCCAGCCATTTTTGGACAGCTTTTTATTCAGAGTATGTTCTTATCTCTGAAAAAACCCCAAAACAACCAACAACCACGTACAGATAATACTGTTTTTCACTAGCTATATTTGCAAACAGTGCTCCAGACAAAATGCTACTACTACTTCTTGAACTTGTGGTCTTCAGAGTTCAGACTAATTCTTGAAAATATTTGCTCAAGAAAGTTAAAAGTGATTAAAAATAGATTGAAACTGAAAGCCTTTGTATGGTTCAGATTATCAAAGCTTCTGCCACTTCAACAAATGCTGTTTTACAGGTCACAGAAATGTACAGAATGTGAAGGCTGCAGAAGAGAAAATCTGCAGTCTGAGTTGTACAGAAATGTGCAGAAGAGAAAATCTGCAGTCTGAGTCAGGCAGCTGGAACAATGAAGATGATGATATGCCCCACAGGATTCCTGTTCTACCTAGAAGTAACCATGCAAAAACTTCTTTTTTTTTAACATTATAGCCCAGCTCTTGCATATACACACAGTGAGAACAACACTAGCCCCTTGTACACAAGCTAAGGGTTTGCTCTTTATGTGCAGAAGAGAAAATCTGCAGTCTGAGTCAGGCAGCTGGAACAATGAAGATGATGATATGCCCCACAGGATTCCTGTTCTACCTAGAAGTAACCATGCAAAAACTTCTTTTTTTTTAACATTATAGCCCAGCTCTTGCATATACACACAGTGAGAACAACACTAGCCCCTTGTACACAAGCTAAGGGTTTGCTCTTTGAGTCACAAAGACCAAGGCACTCAAGACACAGTTTTTACCACTGACACAGATGAAGGCCATCCACAACCCACAAGATGACATACCTCAGGAACTCTCTCCTCTCTCACTTACTGTTCCCATACAGCTTGTCAAAAAGTAAATTAAACATTTAAACAAAAAGGCAGAATGAAGGGCAAAATTATATCTCAAGACTTTTTTCCTGGCAACACTACATTTCATGTCACACAACAACTTCAACAAAGCCTCTAGAATCGATGTACTTAAGCACGTACTGAAGCACTTTCACAGTTCAGATGCCAAAACTCCTCTGATACTAGAAGAGTTTACAGAAAGAATCTGCCTAATTGTTTCTTTATGAAAATTAAGCTCCTTCTGCCCCAAATGAGAATAATTAGTGAAAGGAATCATACTGAGGATGCTGCAATATCCCACAGATTCTCAAAAATGCAGATATCTCTCCCTGTTTCTTCTTGTCCCATGGAAACAATGAATTGCTGATGGCTTTCATCACAAGTAAACCACAGTTATCTCCCTCACACTTACCAAGCTGTGCTGACAAGCAAACAGAAAATTATAACCAATCTATCATCAATTATCTGCTCAGAGTTTGGGTTTTTTTACTTCCACTGGATCTAGAAAGAAAGAGAGGTGTCTGGGAAATACTGTGCCCTGTCTGAAGTGGGGGATCTATCTTCACTTCAACCAGTTATTAGGAACACCCTCGCATCTGTGAGGATCAGAGAACAGAAAGAAAACAAAAAGTGCCTTGGCAGCTCAGGCAAAGCAGGGGCTAGTTGTAGCCTAGACAAAAACGTAGCAAGTGCAACACTTTTCTAACAGAGTTTAATCAAGACTAGTGTCCATCCCTCTCAAGAGGAAAACAGAGCATTGCTTCTTCTTTTCAGCCTACAACAAACCTGTGGAATGTATTATCAGGTTTTCTCTGAGACAAATGGCATGTTATTCTTTGCCAACAGTAGCCTATCACTAAAAAGACAAATTCCAGAATTTCTCTGCTTCGAACCATTATTTTTTACCAAACAAGCTACATTTTTTTGCTCAACTTGTTAAGAAAAGTTTTTCAATTGCTCCAGGTATTTCTAAAGATGTAATGTTAATCCATTTTGTTAACCCATCAAGTATTGGATCAGAACATACACGTCAGGATGAGTTAATTAGTAAAACTGAATCCTGACTTCGGTTCAAAGATAGATAGTTCACATCTTGTTCTTGAAGAGGAGTGTGAGGTAAGATGAAGAGAAAAAATACTTCCTTACTTCAGGAAGGATGAATTTTGCAGTGCTTATTCCTAGCAGTGGGGTGTGTCAAGACTAATTTTCAGGGAAGTGTTGGAAACATGAAGATGATTCCCTGTGAAGATGTGGCCAGTGTGTCCTATACCAGTATAAACTAGCATTAAAGTTTACAATTCTGCAAGAACAGTTTATTTAGAACAGACTGTATTTAGAAACTGTATGAGGCAATATGTTGCAATACTTAGATCTGCTTCCAAATAACATGGTCCTGGTTGTATCCATGGTGCTTACTTATTCTTCTTTCTGCTGTGAACATAAGTAAGCCAAAAATATTTTCTCACATTTTCTCACATTTCACTTCCACAGTACATATATACTGCAGTTCTCTGTTTTTTAAACCCAAGACATTGCACTATGAACAGTGATAATGAAAACTTCTTGTGGAGGTTTTTTTTTGTTTTTCTTTTGTGTGTTTTGGGGTTTTGGTTTTGATCTTTTTTGTTGATATATAGACAGAACCTTTGCTTCTGGAGATGAATTGACTCAGTTAATTAACTTGAAACCATCACAGACGGAAGTAGATCCAAGGACTAGCATCACAGATCTTATTCAAGGCCTTCAGCTGCGGATTGAGAATCAAGAGGTGTTAAAGGAGTTTATGGTAAAGTGTGATTCCTTTTTAAGATCTAACTGTTTAGCACAGCTAAGAAAGTGACTTTTAATAGCCTTCTGCATACTGTGTGGGAGGTCAAATTGTATATCTTTACTGAATCCACTTTCTCTGAGAAGTTTTCTAGCCAGAATGGGGTTTCTACTCTGCTGCTTGGATGATGCTACAGTATTTGGATCTCTCTCCATGCAGGTCAGGCTTACACTGTCCAAAGATACTGCCCACAGGGAATGAAAATAAATAATACACAGAAGTAGAGTATGAATCACTTTTTCCTAGACTGACTTCTTCCTGTTACTCCCTCAGCTTTGTTGAACATCTTCCTAAGAACTATTCTAGGAGTTGCACTAAAGCAAGAAATCCATGCTGCTAGGGATTCCCTAGTGTAGAAAGGAAAATGTTTCACACAATGCTTCAGTTATCCATGAAACTCATTGCTACAAGATACTATTTGGGTCAGGAACTTTGTGAAATTAAAATGTAATGTACCTCCATAAATAATGAAAACACATAATTACATCTAATGGCAAGTAAATAATGAAAAAAAATGTAAAATTAGGAAGGCATATAAAATCTCTTGTTGCAGGAAATAGAGTACTCAGTTATCAGCAAATTCCCAAGCAATAGATTACTTCATAACTCTTCAACACAGTACTGGAATCTCCCTTAAAGGATGTACTCATTGCCAGTGAAATAGATTGCTGATACTTTTCCATAGTAATTGCAATGTTATCAGTTTCTTTCACTTGCCTTTGTATCTCTGCCTTTCTGGGTACAAAATCTCACAGGCTCAAGTGCATAGGATTTGCTGACTTTCCCTGAAGGCTCAAGGGCATGTATTAATTTCCATTCATTCCATTCCATTATTGATGTAGGCATAGCATACTATGAGCTGAGCTACATGTCTGCCCAGAAAACAAAGCTATAATAGGGAAAGTGCTGGTATATTGAGGCCAATGGATATTTTATCTCAGTGAAAGCTAGAGTAACTGATGAAGGTGCTCAAGAGCTGTCACATGTATTTCAGTTCGTATAGACTGTTGAGTGCCATAATGTGATGGCTGAGCATTGTGCAAGGTATACCAAATGGGTAAAAGAATAAAAAAAAAGTCATGGTAACTCAAAAACGTAAATTAAATTAACTCGCACATATACTGCATTCTGTTCCCCTCAATCTGCTATGAAGTACATATGGAACATATGATTTGCATTTAGTATCATTGATACTGTTCCCTATATTCATCCCTTTCTCCATCACTGAAAAGTATTCACTGTCATTACTGCACCGTTAATAGTGCAATAGTGCTTTACTCAGGTTATTATCAATTATAAATGCTGACATTTGGCCAAAACACTATTCCAAACATCTATTATACAGCAACATACAACATGGATTGGTAATGAGGGGGGGCTGAGGATGAGGGTTGGAAATATCACTTGAAAACCCCAGAAATGGTGTGCAGGCTGAAGAAAATATGAAGCTACTTGAATTCCTTGCCTAGAAGTTTAGAGAATGATGTACAGATTCTCTTCTGTAAGAAGTGTATTTGTCAGTTGTGGGTCACATACAGCAGTAAACTTTGCTCACACTGACACTGTAAAGATTGTCCATAGAGGATGTGAAACACATGGATTGACTATTTCTCTTTATATAGGCTTTAGAACATGTGACCCCAATAGATGACTGCAGAACTGGCAAAGCACCAGAAAACCAGGATAAAAACAGATACCAAGATATTCTTCCGTGTAAGTATGTACAGTAATGAGAATATACATTTGGTGAACAAAGACATCATAAAACAGAAAAACAGCTATAACACTGAGATGTGTGAAGTGCAAATCCCACCACAACCTTAGTCACAGAGAGCTCCACTAATAATGAAATTATTAACTATGATTAATGGGATTTTTCCAGAAGAGATAGAGTTCACGTAAGCATCTCTGCATTGTGCAACATGTAATTTTCTGAAGTATCATCTTCCTCAAGGCAGGACTTGGTCTTGTAAGGAGCCAGTTGTCTTGGTGCTTCCTTCCCTCTTTCTCAGAGTTACTGATCGACATTTCTGTAGGCAAGTGTAACTTGAATTATAATAGCATTTCTTTAAATCTGTTTAAATGTACAGCTACATCTACTGGTTGTGGAACAGTGGAATTCTGGAAAGTACAGTGGAAATCATGGAGTTATGTAGCTTTTAGAAAGATAAAGATTCTTTCAGAAGTATTTGAAAGCATAATATCCAACCAGACCTTTCAGCTGTTCAGCTCTGATCTGAGCCAGAAAAGGAAGATTTGAGTACAAGCACTGAATGACTGCTATGTACACGGATTTTCAAAAAAAATTCTATCCTGACAAAAGATTCCCCAAGAGGTATCACAACAGAAGGAGAACACTTTCTGGACCCTTAATGTCTTTCTAAACTGCAGCAGCAGGACAACATATGCAAAAATTAGTAGCACCTCTATGTATCAGTGACGCAGTACATATATATTCTTAGAAGTTTTCCTTGTTTATAACACAAATATCCAGTGACAGTTTTCTTATGCAATACATTAAAAGCAGAACTGGATACACTATTTTGAATCACTGCCAAACAATTCTGTGGTAATTGGAAGGCTTGTTAGAGTGTTACACAAGTATCTTAAGAGAAAGAAAGCTGCAGTGAACCATACAATTTATATGTGGGAATTCCTATTAGCAGATATTAATATTAATGCTACTAGTCAAATGTATTCTAAAATCCAGAGACATACTTGGCTGGAGAGGCTGAGGTTCCCCATCTCCTGAGCACTGGAGATAGTAGAACTCTGTTTCAGATCCATAGCTGAAATAGTATCTTTCTATTTCTGTACAGATGATAAGACACGAGTTCCTCTGGGAGAAAAGAATGGCTACATTAATGCAAGTTATATCAGAATGAAAGTTGGAGAAGAGGAACATTTTTATATTATAACCCAAGGGCCTCTGCCATCCACTATGGCTGATTTTTGGCAAATGGTCTGGGAGAGTGAATCAAATGTGATTGCCATGATGACAAAAGAAGTGGAGCTAGGACAAGTCAGATGTCATCGATACTGGCCTGAACCTCCCCATGACTCTAAGGACCTGACTAATTTCCATCTCAGGCTAGACACTTACCAGATTCTGGAATACTTCATAATTAGAAAAATAGAAATAATCAACAAGCAGGTAAGTTGAGTAGACTTAATACTTTCATAGCAGTAGTGTTATTTGCTTCTTCCATAACATGTGCTCAGTGTTTTTTAGGAATGTAAGAATCTGAATAACAGGCATGAAATTAAGGTTAATGAGATGCTGCTTCTTTGCTCATTACACAGAAAATGAATCCAACACTACATATTTTGGACAAGAACTTCCAAAATGAGACCGCTAATAGTCACAGAGCTGGTTGTTCAGTGTTTTGCAGAGTGGATTCATATTCTGTAATGGTGGATGGATGGAAGGAGAGAAAGAAAGTGGTTTTCATCCTAGAATTTTGAGCAAATGATACTTTTTTCATTCATGAAAAGACATGAATACACATGAAACTACAAATCTAGGAGCAAATTTTTAGAAACTTAACAAATACAGAATCCAAATGTAAGAACATGGAAATCAGGGCAATTACAAGACCATCAGTCTTGCCTCAATATTTAGTAATGCTTAGCAAAAAATTCTGCAGGACATAATATTTAGTGGAATAATTAAAAGATTTGTACTTGTGCCAGACTAGCTTGCTTTTTTTCCATCAAGATAATAATTTCTCCATTTAGAGAAAAGACAATTGCCCTTATGTCACTGAGTGCAAAGTACAGTAAAGCATATGGTATGAGTCTTCCCAAGTCTATTTAGATGGGGAGGTGGGACATTATATGTGCTTTTTGCAATTAACATGTTAGGTTTGCTATGTTTGTACTGGCTCAGCATCAAACTACTACAGAAAGCCACAGGTTTACTTCAGCAGAAATCCATACTTACATTCAAATTCCTCTGATCATAAAAATCCAGGTAGTTCTTTAGCTTTCAGCTTAACGTGTTTGAGTGAGCTCGCAACAAGTGTTGACCCAGGACCACAATTAATATTATTCTTTATTTCATCTACACTTTAATTATTCTTGTGAGCATTTTTAGTTGATTTGGCTTGTATGTTGGGTATCTAATCACAGGTTATTCTTTTATATCTGGTAGTCAGAATAGCATTTACTATCTTCCTGTCGTGTTTGTCATATTACTACTCTTCTATTAGTATGGCTTAGATCAGCGACAAGAGTTTTAGCAAACAGTACTGAAATGTTCTAATTTAACAAATATTTTTGTTTCTTCTTTCTAACCAGCAAATAAGATAACTACATCATTCCTAGGCAACAGAGTTACCTCAATGTCTCATTAAAATCACATGAAGTAAATTGAAGCCTGTGTATTCTGAGTGCATTTCTGGAAACCTAAAGAAACCTTATAGAGTCAAGAATGAAAAGCTGAAGAATTGTAGTGCAAACAAACAACTGACTAAGAATGAGGCTGAAGGAAAATTCTTTGTGTAATTCCTTGAAAATTGGTTTTAGGGTAATTTTTAACCTTTTTGGTCTCTCTCTTTCAGACAGAAGAAAAGCGCATTATAAGTCACTTGCAGTTTACCACTTGGCCAGACCACAATATCCCCAAACTGGCTGAGCAGCTTGTAAAATTTATTTGTTACATGAGAAAAGCTCACAGTACAGGACCTATTGTTGCTCACTGCAGCACTGGCATTGGAAGAAGTGGAGTTTTGCTGTGTGTTGAAATTCTGCTCAGCTATATAGAAAAAGATTTATGTGTAAGTATCAAGCAGATCATCAAGTATTAAACTAGTATGGATGTCAACAACACAGCAGGGGCATCTTAGAGCAGAGCAATTCCTGTTAGAATTCACCCTGACAAAATGGAATAAACCCAGCTTTTGTTGTTTTAAACAACAAAGATAATTACAAGTACACTGTCTCTAAAAGAGCCGAGTCACAGCTTCTCCATCAGAATATGCTTAAATCTTTCTTTATAACTTGCATGTCAACGAAATTAAAACTGTTCTCTTCTGACAGTTCAACATCAAGCAGATAGTGAGAGATTTGAGAGATCAGCGTTTTGGCATGATCCAAACTAAGGTAAGTTCTCAATATTCAGCTAGATTATTATTTTTAGAAGTCTCAATTAGTGATACATATCCACATGCTTTGATAAATCTGGGACTTAAAATTTACTTTTAGCACTCTCATTTGAGGAAAATAACATCCTTCTAGGCAAATAGTCTAGTTCTAAATATGAAAGATTGTCCCTTTATTTCCAGTAACACAAAGAAAAGCAGAGCAGCAATATAGCACAGATACCACCCCCTAGTGCCCCCTTTCTTTTTTTAAAGCAAGAAGAAAAGCAAAGATCACAAAAACAGTAAGGCACTGTAAACTCTACCATGCTAAATTGCAACCTTCAGTTGAATTCTTGCTATTGCTGATTTATCATCACCTCAGTACACCCTTCTACTGCTGAGTTAAATCTATCCCTGAAAGATTTTTCACACAGGAAAAGACAGGATGCAGCTAACTCAATTTAGAGAAAACAGGTGGTGGGAATAAAAACAAGAGCAGACTAGGCTAAGTTCTTCCTATAGGCAAATATTTTAGCACATGCTTTGATATATTTTTCTTTAGGGTAATGATTAAGCATGTGACTAAAATTAATCAAAGACATAACCTAAATGAGAGTTGAGCACATGCTTATAGAATCTGTATTGAATAAGAGAGTGTTCTTGAACTTTTACAAGTGATGGAACAAAAAGAACAAGGATTCCCTTAAATATGTAAGTTAATGTCAATGATGTTAGAAACAGCACTTCAGCCAGTCTATCCTTCTTTGTCTAGAATTTGTGTTGAATGTATCCAGGTGTTTCAAATTGGTGTCTCTGTGTACAGGATGAGTATTTATTCTGTTATGAAGTTGCACTGGAAGTCCTTCAGATCCTCCGAGCAATGGATTCCTACTGACTACAATATGACTGTTCCCTGCTGCTACTCCCCTTGGACTCCGGGGACCACTCAGCAATTACTTTAAAGAGATGTCAAGCCAGCACGGACAAGTGTTACATTACATGCTTTGTTAGATTATTCTGATTTCTAAGGCATTTCAAAACCTTCCTAAACATGTCCTGGGAAAGTCATTTCAATCTTGGCTCCAAGTTTGGAGAAGCAGACAACCAGCACTACAACATTGCTGTCAAATTGCCATGGACAATTTTTGCATTTTGTATAATAACATATGAATTGTTAGGAAAATATTTTGGGACTGTGACAAGGAGATAGCAGCCTTTGGAATTAGCTTTACATTCCTGAGGGCAACTAAAAACCTCTAAGATTCAGCTAGTGTTGGCGGAGGATTAGTTGTCCCTCATCTATTGTTGTGCACTATTGGCTTCTGGACTGCAAATCAGTATTTACTACAGTAGTTACACTTTTGCATGGAAGGATTCAATTGGGTTCCCTTTGGTTGCCTGAACAATTTAGAACCATTTTCAGTCATCCATTCCTGCCTGGGAGATTATAACCCCATCACTAGACATCTTAATTCAAGAAACTCACCAAAAATAGGATGCCTTTAAACCCTAGTTGGTTCTCTTCAAAGCAGAAAGTGTGTTCTAATAATTGGATGGAATATTAAGTTTTCCCAGCAATATGAACAGATGTACATAGCATCAGTATTCTTTCATTCTACATCCATGTAAAAAGGAATGCAGTAAGACAGGTGAAATGACTGTGTGTGCATTGTGGCACACACATACATTTCAGCTCCCCCTGATCCTTTCCATTGATTCACTATCTTGTAATTCTTGCCTATGATCTGAACCAATCTGTGTGAAGTCCTGCTGGTTGCAGTAGGGGCTGAATCAGATCTTTAACTTATAGTAAATAACTCTCTGTACAGTTTATTTCTCTTGTAAAAAGTGTTTCTGTTCATGTGAGTGGATTTGAACAGAAATGTGCTGTTCAAGTTGTAAGATTGCACTTGTTTCTATAGTACTACTTCTAACTCCTTTATCTAGAAGGTGACATATATGGAAGTGAAGTTATTAGATGTGCATTTGAAGAGCAACTTTTAAACATAGGATATTGTAACAATCTACCTGAATTGTACATATTTTTAAAACTTCTTTGACTTCAGGAAAAGAAGAAATATGAAGAAGCATTGGATATAAAACTGCAGTAGAAGCAAGACAATAAAATACCTGTTTATTTTCATTATGAATGAGAGGTTTATGGTCCAGAAAGAATGGGGGATTAAATACAAATTAAAAGTATGACTTTTAGAAAAAGCCACTGGAATACAATTATAATTAAGGCCAAGACCCATTTTTTTTCTTTCTGCCCTCTGATAGTCTGTTGGAAGGCAGGAAAAGATAGAAATGCAATGTATTATGTGAACCAGAAGCTAATTTCGAGCATATTGATAAAGTTCCAGAGTAATGCTAAATTGGTGGAGTCACCCTGAATTTATATTGGTATAAACATAAACATAATTCAATGTTTTATCTTAAATTTATTGGATTTTGTCCTGCCTCAAAGCATTACTCTCCATACATTCTTCATTTACTATCTTTATGTTGCATATTAAGGGCTGTTCACACAATTTTGTCAAATGTAATCAAACAGTTTTTGTTCATAACTTTGTTACCTTCATTTGGTATTTGGCCTTTGACTTTAATTACTGCACAAGTACTACTAGGCAATGAATGCACTACACTGCACATGAATGCACAATTCACTTTTTGTACAACAGTAATTTTAATAAGCTTCTCAGTGAAAATATTCCTATACTTTATGCAAAGGTGGATTTTCTGTGGTTTAGAACAAGGATTCTGGGTTTAGGAGACAATCCTCATAGCATTATTTGTTCCTCCACATTTGTGCATCATCTTTGCAGCTGTTTGACAGATGTTTGCTGTTTGACATAAGTTTTTCCTGTTTTACAGGGATATTAAAAAGATTTCTGAAAACAATATTTTAATTTCAATTTCTTTTTATGAAAAAGCAGGATCAATACTTAACCACTAACCAGTAAGAGCTCTAGTGAAAATACTATTTTATTAATTGGGGCTTATATTTATTCTGCCTATAAAAGCAGATTTTGTGCTGATGGTAGCTTTTGTATATTCCCCTAAAGCAGTTCTTACTGACCTCTACGACATTCTGCCATATCCTATGTGCTTATTCTTTGGGTACATAATAATTAAATACCTTTAAACAGCTATTATGATTACAATACACATAATGACATCCTCACACAGACTGAACTTTGTTGTGGATGAGACATACACTTTTATACAGATCTAGTTCTCTAACGCCTTCTAGCAGAGTAAGATAAAACAGAATTGTCCTTCTAGATATTTTGCAATCTGTTTTATAATGAAGAAACTTTCACTCAACAGAAAATCTCTGAGCCTCTGTAATCAACTTTAGACAGAGCCAGATAGATGCAATTTACCACATGCTGGATGGCAGACCCTCCATCACAGTTCCAGGGAGATCCTGCAGAGCAAGTCTCTCAATCCACAGCCTGAAAACATTTTAAGAAAACTGCACACTTGCAAGGGTTCTGCACATGTTTGAAGCTAAAGACTGTCACCTTAGTCCAGGTCTGCTCCTGATCTACACTGCTGAGATTCAGCCTAGACAGCAGATAATTTTGAGGATGGGAGTACTGAAACGATAGACACAGCTTCTCCCTACAGTAGACATCATGTTTGGCAAAATAAACTATGAGTCATTATCTCAAAGTGCTTGGCAGATGTGACTGCTATATATGCTCTCTTGGAGATGCTAGGGAACCATCCGTTGTCAGCTTCTTCTTTCAAGGTAGGATTCAGGGATTCAGCTCCCAGCTTTGCTGCAGACTTCTTGAAGAGGCCAAACCACTTAAACAGGATTATCCACACCTCACAGTTTTCTTCTTTTACACTGAACTACCAGGGTACACTCATAGCCTTTGTAGCTAGGCGCACCTAGCTCAAAGTGTAGAAAAACTAAGAACAGTTAGGGGACTGTTAAACATTTGAGTATAGAGAAATCTGGCTACGTCCAGCAGCTCATACAGCATTTCCCCCCTAGCAGCACAAATGAGAGTTCTGGTTCTGGGTTATTTATTCACACAAAACTCTCGTGGACACCAAGGCTCACTGACATGCATTGATTTGGAACAAGAGATAACCCACTCTTTAAACAGTTCACACTACTTGGCAAGTCAGGCTAAACTGGAAAGAAAGGAAAATCTACTGTCTCATTTCATTCACATGGAAGTGAGGCAGTAGTTGGTAATTTGTCCAAGGTCTACAGAGTTTTTGGAAAACTTGGGAACTAAACTCAGATGATAAAGGGTCTGATTCTCTCCTACACACAGTATTGCCTTTCCTTGGTCAGAAAATAGGATTGTACTGCTCTGGCTGATTTCTGATTAGATATTACTTAGCATATAAAGTGGCCTGGCTGGAATTTGCACACATCCTAATATGCAAGAGATGTATTATGGTACAGAGCCTCAGTCTGTGCCTATGGACACACTGCTTACTTCAGAAGTGACACCGAGATTGCTATTTGTGCTTCTAAATTATGTTAATCTACCACCTAGTTGCCAATCAGGACAAACTGCAGTACAAATGCAAACAAAAAGGACACATTTATTAAAAGCAGTGCCTGCCATAACAAGCACTCAAACCAGGTAAACAAATGCTAGTCCCCAGATTCATACTGTTGCACAAAACCTTGTTAGTGGTGCTCTGTGTTCAGATAGTAGCTCTGTTCTCAGAACAGCACATCTTGTAATTATGCTCTGGGGAATAAATGGGTTTACTGCCATTTGAGGCTGCTGCAAAGTGTTTTTATGTCTACCATTTTATCCCAGTTTAAAAGCAAATATTGCAAGGACAACCATTGCATAGTTGTTAAGTTACATAATCATGCGAGTAGGAGGAGACAGGTGGCCCCATTTTTCCATTAACATCTTCACGGGGTTCCATGGACACAGAACTACTTCATGCTGATGGCTCCATGGACTCTAGTACATCTGCAACAGATAAGATACCTGAAAATATCCACACATGCCAAAATGGTTGTTATTATCTACAAGAACATTCTCAGGTTTAAATAATGACTTTTAAAAGTAGCAAATTGTACTAATATAATCATGCTTCCTTTGCTTTTTCTTAAAAAGCCTAAGAGATGATTCAGTAATTTTTTTTCCTGTCTTCTCAGTTGTAGTTTATGGTCTTATTTGAACAATAGACGTTTCTGTGATGGAACAAACAGAGCAACTGCCAGCACAGCCCATACTGCCAAAGAGCAGCAATCGCTGCCATCTAGGGGCAAATCGCGACTGTGACAGCATTAATGACAAATAGTCGCTCTAGTCTCGGGCACAGAATCACTCCTTGGAAGTTTCACTGAGGCTCACGCAGAAGGATTACCAAGATGTGCTTGGCAGGACGCAGTGCTCTCGCTCCAGCCTGGCAAGTTCCTGCCTGGCCAGGCAGGTGCTGCGTGCTGTGGACTTTACAGCCACACTGCTCAGGTCCTACACAGCCTAAAATAATCATAATGGAGTACTCAGGCAGTGTCAGCAAAGGGTACTTAGAAATCTGTCAGGATCTGTTGAAATCTGACAAAAGACTAACTTATGAAAAACCTTGCTCTTGGCCTCAAAGCAGGGGTACTCTTGGAATGAAGCACTTTCTTACTGAAAGTTATGAGTAATGGGAAATCCTCCTGAAGTTTTACAAGAAATACTTTTATGAAACACTGTGTGCAGCTGAATCTGATTTGGCTGGGGTATATTTAGTGTAAGATAATCTCTGTAAACTGGTTTATTTTGTCCACTATGTTGTGAATTCGTCTGCAGGATGAGGGCTGGAGGTACCATCACACATCCCAGTGTAATGACCCCACTGCACACTGAGGAATGTGATCTTCATAATGGTTAACATGAGCAAGCCCAAGCCTGT